TAGCCCTCAAAACAAGCTTGTTTGTAGTTAATGAAAGAAATGGGTGACTTATTTTTAAAGATGTCTTCCCTCTGCTAATAATCTGGTTTTCATGAGCTGCAGCTGCGCCAGCTTCAGAGCCATTGATCTATCATGTGCAGAGACACAATTCTTTCCACAAAAAGTGCATCAAAGGTAAAGCAATCAATTTATTTCCTTTCTGAAATGTGAGCCGCACATTTTGAATTCCTCATGAGTATCTCAGGTGATGCTGTACAAGTAAACCCCAAATAAATTGCTGCTTATTCTGTTTAGCACAGGCAGTAATCCCCTTTTAGGGTACTTTGTTTTCCTTTAATATCCGGTGCAGGGATAAACAGAGGTTCTGCATTAATGCAGTCATGTGTTAATTGAACATAAACCACAACATAAATGCAACAGTTTAGTCTTGAAATTAATAACTGTCATTTGTAGACCACATCATGTATTTCATTGTAGGAATAATTTACTGATAGGGTATTTTATGCTTAGCAGTGATTAAGAAACTGTGCAATTTACAATAGAAACAAATGGAGTCATATATAATGAGTAATAAAATATGTGTGTATGTATATAAAGTTGTTTATACATAACAAATTAAAAATGTAAATGCCTCCATAATATAAGGCAGAGTATGAAGGGCTTTTTATATTATTATCCCTCAAACTGAAGTGTAACCAAATAAAAGATTCAGATTTACAGGAGGATTCACTTTATAGAAAAACAAACCCCTTTCGCTAGAAGGAAGCATCTGTTTCAGCCATTAATAACACATGTAATGTATACGCTGCTTTGAACTAAACATTTCCATTATAACTGAAAGCCCATTTACAGACAGAAGCAGTCCCTGAGTGTAATCAGTCATAGTGTCGCTGTAGCATATGATAACTGCAATAGAACTAGGACATGAGCTCAGCCGAAGGCCTCTACAGTATCACTCACAAACTGCAGGGGGGAAGCATTTTGCCTACCTTGTAACCATTAGTGTAGAAGGTAGGTATAAGTCCCAGTGGTTTTCTTAGTAAGTTGCACTTAGCACTGATCCATGTTTACACAAGTGAAACTGGGTTTTTTTTGTATTCACTAAAACTAATCTTTGGTTTATCATCCATTAGCAGTCTCCCCCTTTTGTTCCTCTCTGACAGCAACAAACAGGAATTTTATGTTGCTGCTTTCTAATGACTCAAGGAAAAACTATTTTCAAGCAAAATTTTAGGCTCATGGAGTGGAAAGATTTTAAGGGTCTTACAATGCAACTTGCATATGGGAAGGTCCACACCTGCATTATTGACCTTACATACCATTAGTTAATGTTGCACAAAGGCATTCAGCAGATTTTTCACACCAAAAGTTTTCTGGGCAGCTTTCCAAAACTTAGCAGTAGTTTAAAATGACCCCAACTTTATGAATGTGAATGGAGCCATTATAGGGTAATCGTCTTTCCCCAGCTTTAAGTTACATTTAGCAGCTTCCTCTGAACTAAGATTTTTTTTTTAAATGGCAGGCTTTAACGTCTTATAAAGTTAATTCTACTGCAGATTTTTTTTCAGTAATATACAATGAAATCATTCCTAGCTTGTCTACATAAAGAAAAATCTGCAGTGGCTTGTCAGTTACACAGAGCATAGTTCTTTCTTTGATAGAATGTAGGATAGAATATTTTAACCTTTGGGTTTTTAATATCACTTTTATATTCCAGCCTTACAAATTTTGCAGTTGGGTTTGCTAGGGCTCTACAATAAGATGATTAATAAATGTGATGTGCAAGGAACAATATAATAGTGTGGTTCTTTTCAGCCTTGGGTTGAACTGTCTATTGAAAATTGTAAAGAGCAAAAATAAACTGTATTCTTTACTGGAGCTGTGAAAAACTCAGAATTGAAATATGTGAGAGATGCCAATATTTTGAAAGAGGTTTCTTTCTGAATCAAACCAAAAACTAGAGATTGCAAAATTTCCCACAGTTTTCATTTTTGGAAAAATCAATTTTTTTCCAGTTTTTTCCAAAACAAAACAGATCTGCTGGCTACTGTGATTTCTGGGGCTTCTCACACTATCCCTGATTCCCTAAGTGACACCCAATTCTGAAGCAGCCTAGGCAGTCCCTGAGTCAAACAGCCACTCAGTCCAGGGTGTCTAGAATCAATGAGATCATGGACTGGGCTTTCAGAGCTACCAGG